ACCTATTGTTTTTAGCACCCCGCAGAAGCAATTGATGAATTTCTTTGATCTGAGTAGTAAGATTGTCAATCCGTTCTTCAAGACGTCAATTTATTGCATCTAAATCTACCCTAGTAATAGGCTCGCCATCCATGTTTACGAATCAAAGATATAGAGATGAAAAAGTGGGCTCTGATACCACTTGACGTAGTGAAAAAAGGAATTCAGGCGAAAATCTTAAGATCACGAAATTTGGAATCCACTAAATTAAGGAGAAAATAAACTTTACAAATTTTATTAATGGATGTTAATAAAAAAAGGGACTAACCCATTATTTATAATGATTTACATGGAAACGTAGTTTAAAATAACTAAAAGTAATGAAACCAAAATTTAAACAAACTATAATTGCAAAAAAAAAGAGATAATTTGTTTGGAGAAATATCTTATTTTTATTAGAAGAAAATTCTTATCGATGAGTTATAATTTTTGATTTATTAGAGGTTAGGAGTGATCACGTTTGTGAATTTATCTTATTTCAGCTTTATTTGCAAATAGGTGATTCAATGATAGAATGGATTGCCCACTTAAAAGATTTTGTGTGGTCGAGTCTAGGGATGACAATTCGACTCGTCGACTCAGACCACTCATGACTCGGTCCCAAAAAAGTCATAGCCAGACCGACTCGAGGCTCGATAGGATTGAGCCGACCCATGGCTCATGGGCCAGCTCGTTTAAAAAAATGATTAAAAAAAAAAAAAAAAAAAAAACAAAAATTAAAAAAAAATAAAATTAAAAAAAAAAAAAAAAAAAAAACCCAAAATAAACGAATTGACAGAAATAGCGCCAAAACTTTAAAAATAAGTTTTCGAGTCCTAAATGAACTCGAATGGCCGAAATTCATCGTACATTACGTCATAGCGGTGAGTACTGTCCCTCTCATCGTTCTCTTTCCAGAATGGTCTTATGTGCTCAATCCAGAATTATGATGTTCTATTTCTACTAGTACTTTTTTCCAACATGCCCAATATATCCTGCATCACCAATAAATCCCACAGATCCTTAGCTGAGTTCTTCGAGCTATACTCTTCATAAAGTGTATTGTCCAATCCTTTCTGAATATAAATTTTGCACAGGGAGTCTGAATGCTTTCATGCGTTCAAGGCAATAATCAATTCACGATTATTCTCTCCTTCTTGTACGGTCGGTGTAGTCTCCTTTAGAAAAATTGTCAGGTTCAGAGCAATGAGATAGAACAACTTTTGTTTTCATCTCTTGAAGTCTACGCCTCCAAACTTTTCCCTTTTTCCCCATGCGGGATCACAGTACTTTGTAGTGGTATAGCCAATTGTAGAACTATATTATTCGTGCCATTTTGACTTCAAGTAGCCTTGACGATACTTATTTATGTTGAACAAACAGAACATTAACGCAGCAATAATTGAAGAAAAGAATAGGACACAGCACCGTTCCAAACGAACGAACGTGATAGGTTTGTTCACTAACAATCACAGATAGAATTTTATCTAAATATTGTTGTTCCATACTTTATATATATCTGGTGAAATGGTTGTTTGAATATAGAACAAACAAAAGCAAATTTTAATCCACAGGAGCGTGATTAAACCCGATGTATATGGGGTTGGAAATTGATTGTTACAAATGAACACCGAAAATGAAACCAAGAAGGAAGAAGTAGAAAATAATGATCCAAGGCAAAAAGATAAAATCACCTTGCAATGGTGCTCACGATTTATGGCACTTGTCTCCCTAGATACAACGGATTCAATTTGTAGTAGAAGCACTTCAAACCACAAATTACAACAAACTTTCGATGGAGTTTCTCTCTATAAGATGAAAATGGCTTTGAATGAGTTTGGGAGAGGTTAGACAAGTGATATATGGAAAGCTTAATGCATGTATGATATGGAATGACTTGAGGACATCCAAGGGGTCCTATTTATAGCAAATGAGGGGTTGTGGACGAAGTGTCGTGAGTCAAAGCCTGCAACCTTACGAAAAAAAGTAACACTTAGCTGTCGCTAGATTGTTGCTCAAACGAGAGTCTCAATTTTTGAGCAAAACATTCTTCATCCGCTTGTCGCTCGAGCGATAATCGAGCGACATTCCCAAGCAAAAAAATGCAGTTTCCTCTATTTTTCTTCCAACTTTGGATTGCAATTTTTCATTCATACGAAATTGGTTTTGATATTTCAAATATACCATGACGATCTACTTGACGAGTATAATAAGTTGATCTATTTACGGATCAAGTCCAAATATTTGAACGAAGTTGACACAAAAGTCACTTTATCCACTTTGGGTTTTAACACTTAACCAATTTTCCTAAATTTTTTAAAACCAATTTCCAACATTATTATAACCTAATTCGTTTCTCTATTGTTTCGCTAACAGCAACAATTGAATTTCAAGTTTTTTAATTTGTTCATTTTCACGCTTTAAAGTCAGCTGGCAAATTATAAATATATGAGACGGAACGAAGAACAAACCTGGAAAGTGCTCATAAATAAATTATAATCCTTAAAGAAATATACAAGAAAAACAAAACAAAAAAGTATTCAACAGGATTTGAGTACTACATTTCCATACTGGTAGTTTCCTGGAAATTACAGCACTGGTCCACAGGAAGGTGGTCGGTTGTCATTGACTGACTTTGCATTTGGCTCATAACTTTCTCAGGACTTGGAAGTTCTTTATCAGTTTCTTCACTGTTATTAAAACATTTTTGTAATTTTCACTGTAACTACGTATGTTTTGAATCGGGAAGTTTCTTAGTAGTTTCATCCGTATTATTTTCTCCGTTTGGAAGGTCCTCTATTATTATGCAACAGAGAATCATGAAGTTACTTAGCCAAGTTTTGCATACAAATTCATTAATTATTTATAAATTAATTAAAATCAAATATTAATTTTAACTACGTAATTATTACTCATTAATAACAAAACATGTAATGAATTATTTATAAATTTGTAAATAACGGAGACATAGTAGTTGCATCCACTACTATTATGCATTTTGTACTTTTTCACAATAATAGACAATGTGAGAGTGAAACAGAAAATTATACACTTTGCAACGAACTTTTGAAACATAAACAATTGAATTGGACCAAACCAAAATCAATCTATTTTGTTGCGATTTGCTTCATTTTCTACAAATTAAGCAACCAAAAAAATCATTTTTTAAAGAAAAGATAATTTATCAACAATTATCACTTTTATTAAAAAAAATCACTAACTAATCCATTTTTTAAAATATTTAAATATAAAATAAAATTTAAATTATTTTATATAATTTAAAAAAATCATTGTTAACAAATTTTATGTATCTGAGACATTCTACATTTTCCACAATTTTTCATGACATATAAATGTTTTTCAAGAGTTTTACGAAAGGGATAAAATGTTTACCAGCTAATTGTTTCGGTTGAAATTTACAAATGGAATCCTCCGTTGGAAAATTCACCTAAAAATGATTATTTATTTAATTATACCTTCTGATTATCTATGAAATTTAACGGATGAAAAATGTTATTATTTATTGTTGGTCAATAATTTTACTTTTCTGCTTGTTATTTGTTTTTGGCAAAAATTGTTTTTTCAATAACATTATAAAGATTTCGTAATCCGCATGGAAAACAAAACTAGAATATACAAATAAGACGGAGAAAGTAATAGATTTGCCTCTAATAATATACAATGACGTCATTCGTAGCTAGCAAGGACAGTAATTATCCTGTGAAACATTTTTAGTGGTAACTCATAATAGTGCTGCACCACATAAGAGGCGTTAAATGTTTCATTGGCCATTGAACTTTGTATTATGTCATGGCTTACACACCCGACTTCCAAAAGCTTTCGAGTGGCCACTGAACTTAGGTCCGTTGCACTCCATCGCTCATCGGACAAATTCCGTTTCTTGTTTTGTCTACGTGGAGGATGGAAAATTTACGTGGCTGTTAAATGCATCCAAGTATGCAAGGAAATGCCAACGTAGCCTCCAACTCAACAAATTGTGGTTTTCCTCTTCCAAGTGTTCAAAATCATCTTTCCACCTATTACAAAACCATCTTCAATATCACCATCTTCATCATCAGTATTTCAAAATCATCATCTTCATCATCGGTCTCGGCATTAGAATTAGCTTTGAACTTGGGTGACAAAATATTCAACTTTATAACATTTTCAGATAACTTGTCGGGAGTCAACTGAGCAGACATAATCCAAAACGTCTTTCCACCTAGCTGACCTCTCTTTCTCTTCCTCATAAAGCCCAGAATAGATGGGTTTTGACTTAAGGTTTGGGGCTTGATTTTGGGGGGATTGGATTTCGATTTTCATATTTTCCTCCAAATTGAAGAGGTTTTCATTACACAGAGAAGGGCAAAGAGAGTTCCTAGCAAAGAAGTAAATGGAAGCAAAGAAGTAGGTTTACATTTGAGATGCTCAGTGTGCATGCTTCCTCTGCCACACATCCATGGAGTCCTTTACCAACAAAAATGAAATAGAAGAGGTTTCATTTCGCAGAGAAGAGCTTGTTTCCTTGCACACTTGGACGCATTTAACAGCTATGTAAATTTTCCGTCCTCCATGTAGACAAAATAAGAAACGGAAATGGTCCAGTTAGTAATGGAGTGCAACGGACCTAAGTTCAGTGACCACTGGAAAGCATTTCAAAGTTGAGTGAGTAAACTGTGACATAGTACAAAGTTCGATGGCCAATGAAACATTTAACTCCACGTAAGAGATTGCGTATGATAACTAATTTATTCGCTATCCATGAATAGCACTACTAAACAATTACACTAGTGATGATTTGACCTTGGGCATTTAATTAACAATTTTCACACAGGTAGATTCCAGGAAACTGCAGCTTTCTCTTTCACAAGATAAACAATCTTTATCTGACTTTGCAATTGTCTTAAAATTTCTCAAGACATGAAATTTCGTAGTACTTTCCTATTTCTCAATCAATTTCTATTATGATTTTATCTGTAAGAGATAAAAAGGGGGCAAATCTTCCTTTGTTACATAAAAGTTTCCACTTGAAAGGCAACTTAAAAACTTCCCCTCAAGAAAATCATTTTACACGTAGAAATGAATTTCCGTCCATTAATTTTGCAAATTTTGCAGCTGATGTTTGCAACAATGCTAATGGTGCCAAAAATTAATTTAGCGTCTCAGCCCATGCCAAAATGTCCAACTCATTGTCTAGATATCGCCATTGCCTTTCCATTTGACATTAGTTCCAATTGCCATCTTGATGAATGTTCTCTCTTTATTATTTGCAGCACGAATGACAACACCACCAACCCATTTGTAAAATTCAGTGAATATGAATTTTTTCACAGATCACTCAATGGAGATGTTATAATTTCAGCTTCGATGGCTTTAGATTGTTACAACCAGTGCGGTTCAATAAATGGCAGCATCCTGGAGCTCTTCTCGTCTAAATTGCAGAATTTTGACACATTTTTTCAACCACAACAATATTATTCATTTGTGGGATTAAGTGGTAGTCTCAAATTCCACGAAGCTGATATCTCTCTCAAACCCGATGACCGAGCTAAGATCTCTCCCAAACACAAGGACCGAGCTAAGATCTCTGCTTTTGAGGTTTTAGGTGATACAAAGAAAGATGGTATTCTCAAACCCAATGGCCGAGCTAAGATCCCTACCTTTCTCCATATTGCTTTTGGTATGCTCTTTTGTTTTTTCTTTTGCAAAAATGCTTGTTCATAACTTATAGGAATGTTCCTATTTGACCATTGAGATCGATTTTGTGAGTCCAAGCTAATGGTGAGGTTAATTTGGCACATTGTATCATTGTTAAGAGAAAACCCACCGATACCAAGGTGATACCGGGCTCAATTTTGAACCAAATCAACACCACACAATCGAGACAACACCAAACGCCCTTCTTCCTTTCTTCCAATCACGGTTGCTATTCATACCCACAAAGAGATAGCCAAGAGAAAATTAATATCACCCGAGATAAATCACAAAGGTTATACAGGTAAGAAAACCGAGAATGAGCAGAAACGGGAATCACAAAGAGAAGGCAGCAAGAGTTCTTCTTGGAGGCACCAGAGAGGAGACCGAAAATATAGCCCAAGTGAAAGACCAATTAAGGTAAATTAGGTTAGGTTAAGAGTGGTGGCCCAAAAGGTCCAACACAAAGGTAATGGACTCCGAATGGGTATCGCAGCCTTCCAAGTAAATGGGACGGGCCACAAGCAACACTACTATATTAGGTTGCTTCTAATGTTCCGTAGAAAATTGGGATTGGGTTGTCTCAATAGTGGTGTTGACATACGTACAGTCATATGGTCAATGTTGACTCAAAATTAAATAAAATCGAGTTCACATCATCGCCCGAGAGGTCGTTTGACAACAAATTGTCCAACAATGCTTATGCGGAATAATGGTGGACCTTAACCTGAGGGTGTTTAATATATTTGAAGCTGTTTTTGGTCGACCAAAATCTATTTTGTATTGTTTGGTCTTGCATACGTTAGTTGACCACATGTTGTTTCTAGATGTGTCAACTATGGTGCTGCTCTCCATTAGTTTCTGCAGACAAAATCGATTTCAGTGACTAATGACGTAAATTTTATAAAGTTAGATGACTCAGTTTTCATATTTTGAAGTGAGCATGCCTATAAAGTTGGGGGTCGGACAAAGTTTTTTATTTATTTATTATTATTGTTATTATTATTATTATTATTATTATTATTATTATTATTATTTTCAGATTATGAGGTATATTTGGTAGTTCTTAGAGGAAATCGTGATTATAAACAACTTTGACAGAAATCTTTCCAATTTTAAACAGGTCTCTTTCTTCCTACAGTCGGAATTTCTTGGATATTTTGGAGAAGCAAGAAAAAGAAAATCGCTAGACTAAGACAGAATTTGTTCGTGAAAAATGGTGGATTGATTTTAGAAAAAATGCTATTAAGAAGGAAAAGATGTAAAGTCTTCACAGCAGAAGATCTCAGCAAGGCTACGGACAACTACAATGAAAGTAGAGTCTTTGATAGAGATAGGAATGAACCAGTTTACAAAGGAACTTTACTTGAAGATGGAGTAAACAAACTTGTCACCATAAAGAGATGTGAAAAAATTGATCCAGTCCAGATTCCGGATTTCATTAGTAAATTGGTCAATTTTTCATGGATAGACCACATGAATGTGGCAAAACTGATTGGCTGTTGTTTAGAGACACAAGTTCCATTACTGGTTTATGAGTACTACACTGATAAAACGTTGTACGATTCCATTCATGATAAGTTTTCTTTTCTCTCCTGGGAACATCGTCTTAAGATAGCCACTGAAACTGCAAGGTCCCTTTTATACTTGCATTCTGGTGGCAAAGCACCAATTATTCATGGAAACATCAAAAGCTCCAACATACTACTAGACCGTGGTTTCGTGGTAAAAATAGCGTTTCCTTCATTTACAGGATTGTCGGGTACAGATGGCAAAAAGAGTGATGTGTATAGCTTTGGTGTTATACTAGCCGAGCTACTGACTGGAGATGAGGTGCTAAACTTTGACAGGCCAAGAGGAGAAGAATTTTTGGCTGCGTATTTCATTTCCGCACTCAAAGGAGATCGCATGCTTGAAATTCTTGAACATGATTTGGTGGTGGGTGTTAACATTGAGCAGCTGAAAGAAGTTTCTATACTGACAGAGATGTGCTTAAGAGAACGATGTGAGGAGAGGCCTACAATGATTGAAGTCCTAATGAAGCTTGAAAATGTTTTTAAGGAGTCTGGAGCTCGACAAAGATTAAGCAAGGTTTAACCATGGCGATAATTGCCTGGAGGGTCGTGAAAAAGATCAGTATTCCAGCTCAAGATCAACTAAGTTATTAATGAGCTTGAACTCATAACTTTCCCAAGTATTTCACTCATCTTTCTTCTTTTTTCCCATAAAACAATGCAGGTTGAAAAAGACGGTAATCACAATATCACTGCTTCCATTTGAACCAGGGACATAGATTTTAATTATGTAATGCGTTTTATTGTAGAAAAGACAAAGTATGTGTAAAACAAATGAGGGCTAAGACTGTAAATATTATAGTAGTTTGGAGTCTGTATAAATAGTATTGTAAGCCGTAAACCAAAAAGAGGAGAATTATATATGAAATCTTGCGAAGAAAGAAATAGTTTTGTTTCTTCTCCATTCTCTCATTCATCTCTATTTTCCCTGTTGTTGGTAATCTGTTGGTTGTTGCAGTGATTTTCCCTATTTCATATAGCATAAACTTTATTGCACTACTTTTATACGAGTGGAATTTGTGAAGTATAAATTTTCTCCTGCTTTCATACACTTGAAACCAGCGCTGTAATACCAGAATCTGCAATCTCAGCCAACATATATTTGGTATCAGAGCATTCCAGATTCTATTTTTATTCATTTGCCACTAAGATTTAGCAGCAAGGATTTTGAAAAGGAGGGAGTTGGATTAGTGTTCAAGTTCCAATATTTATAGGAGAGAACTATGATTTTTGGAGCATCTAGAAGAAGACTTTCTTCAATTCTCTTGATCTACAAGAGATGGTAGAATCAGGATATGAAATCCCTAAATCTATGGCAGATTTAAGTGAAGCCGAAAAGAATAAGTTGAATAAAAAGAGCAAAGATGCACGAACTCAGGGGATGGTCCAGAAGGAGTCTTAGAAGATATTTTCCCAATAATCCTGGTAGCAAAAAAATCCAACCATGGCAGATACTTCAAGAAGAATTTCAATGGGATAAAAGGGTAAGAACAATCGAACTTCAAACTCTTAGAAGGGATATCGAAAATATGAAAATGGAACAAAATGAAAGTGTAAAAGATTATTCAAATTGAAATTGATCGTTCGAATGAAAATAAATGGTGAAAAGATAACAGCTTAGAGAATAGTTGTGATGTTGTTGATAAGTTTGCCTGAGAAATTTAATTTTATGGTGGCTGTTATAGGAGAAATTAAAAATATTTCTAAATTGAGAGTGCAAGTGTTATTGAGTTCTTTGAAATCTTATGAGCAAAGCTTGGATAACACTCAGAAAAATCAATTGAGAGTGATTTCGAATCTAAGCTCAATGTAAACTCAAAAAGATTGAAAAAGAACCACCAACTCAACATCAAGACAGATGGGACTGTTTTAGTGGAGGAAGATAAGGAAGAGGTTCAGAGGATTAAGAGGAAGAGGAAAAAAGCAACTTTGATCGAAGAGCAAGTGGAGAAGGTTTTTTACAAAAGTGCAATGTCTGCAGCAAAATTGGCTATCTTGAAAAAAAAACTAATGGTTCAAAGGGAAGCTTCAATTTTACCATTGTAAAAGGTTTGGTCAATTGCAGAAAGATTGTAGATTGAAAAATAACCAACAAGTAAATTTCACGTAGGATAAAGATGATAAGGAAAGCTGAAAGAAATCTATTTTTTGCAGGCCAACATTGTTGGGAATCTACTTAAACATGCACAGCGGAAATTAAAATTATTTCGATTCCCATCCAATAGATCTCATTGTGTTTGGTTAGGAATTGTGATAAGATTGTACCTTTTCCAGATCTGCAATCCTTTTGCTTTTCTTTTCGTTCCACAACTTTGATTCGCCACCACAGCTGTCCAATTGTCCAGCCTCCAACGGTGATCCACACAGAGAATATGATTGCAGCCTCTAGGGTTTTCTCTTGTGCTAGCAAGAATAATGAAAACCTTAATGGACCTCAAACCCTAGTTATGTATTTATATAAACCCAAACAGGCTCGGCCCGGTCCGGTCCAATAATTAATTAATCCAATTAATTAAACCCGGTCCGTGAATTAATTAATCCAATTAATTAATTCGAAAATATAAATAACAAATCCAATTAATTAATTTATCCAACGATTGTTAAATTAACCAATTGGCAATTTGCAATCTTCCAATTCTCTTTTGTGTGTGACCCATTAGGTTCCCGACCACGATGCCTAACGACGTGAAATATTATTTTGATCTAATCAAAATTGATAAATTAAAACACTCTTTTAATTTATCGTCAATTCACATTCGCCGTCCCTGATTGACATCTAGCAATGTGTCAGGGCAATACATGTGACGGGAAATGTCACGTGGTATGACAAAACCAAATTCGTTCGTTTACCGTGAAACTATAATCCCTTCGTCAATATGATCCGATCAATTACGAGATATGGAGTTGTGTCAATCTCAATCATCGATCATATCTTTCACTCCACTATTAAGTCAATATAAATCGAAAACTCCTTTTCGACTCATG